AAAAAAAAAAAAAAAAAAGAAACTCGTGGGTTTAAGTGATCCTCCCACCTCAGCCTCCCAAAGTACCGAGATTACAGGTGTGATCCACTGTGCCTGCCTTCATTAACTTTTTTATTTTTAAAGCTTGTTTCAGTAGGGTTCTGTTGGGCTTTCAGCATAATAGTTTCTGTGTTCCATCCATGGTCTCACAGCCCTTGATGTGATCAAGCCCGAGACTGCAATGTCAGACCCCAGAAGGGACCCGGGCATGCTGTTGGAGGCAGGAGTGGAAGGCAAGGATGACAGCTTCGAGGAAGCAAAATACCTGCCAGCAACTCCGTGCTGGACCAGATCAACTCCTGTCAGGAGCAGCTGGAGGAGAACCACCACTTCCACACCCACCTCCAGGAGCTGCTGGAATCCAACCAGCAGATATGCCTTGAGTTCCAGCAGCAGCTCTGGGAGCCCCCAGCGATGTCAGCCTCTAGGCTCTGGGAGCCACCGACCAGGTCCCAACCCTGCTTCCCTGGGCCAGGCTCTGGCCTGGGCCCACACTCCCTGGCTTAGATACCTTCCCAAGGGCTGGCCTTCAGGGTCCCCCGATGGATCTAACTGCCTTGGCCACCCTTCCAGCACTCCCCTTGGCCTGCCTGGGCTAGTCCCCACTGCCTGGCATCCCCTCCCGGGGTCAGGCATGGGCCTGCGACCACCTACTTGCCTGCCACCCAACTGGGTGGGCACTCCTCACTTCACCCAGGCCTTAAGTGTCCACATGAAATGGGTCACACACACACAAAGTAGAGTTCCATCACTGGTAAACAAAATCATCCTGACTGAAAGGTTGGGCCTTTTGTCTTGGTTATTTGGTGCTATTTGGTGGAGTAGGTGATTGATAAGTATCGGTTAGATGGGTAGAGGTGTGGATAGACGTTGACATGAGGCAATTTTCTTCTTTCATCCTGCTTTTCAACTTTTGAAGCCTAAGTACAGTCTCATTGTACAATATGGTGACTATAGTTAATAACAGTGTATCATATACTTGCAAATTACTAAGAGAAGCTAGGCATGGTGGCTCACGCCTGTAATCCCAGCATTTTGGGTGCCTGAGGTGGGCGGATCACTTGGGGCCAGGAGTTTGAGACCAGGTTGGCCAACATGGTGAAACCCCATCTCTACTCAAAATACAAAAATTAGCCGGGTGTTGCGGGATGCACCTGTGGTCCCAGCTACTCGGGAGGCTGAGGCATGAGAATCACTTGAACCTGGGAGGTGGAGGTTGCAGTGAGCTGAAGAGGTGCCACTGCACTCCAGCCTGGGTGACAGAGTGACTCTGTCTCAAAAAAAAGAGAAAATTACTAAGAGAGATTTTAAGTGTTGTCACCACACACACACACAAAAGATAAGACTGTTAGGCAAGCATATGTTGAATAGCTTGATTTAGCCATCCCACAATATATACATATTTCAGAATATTATGTTGTACACCATAAATATAGACAGATTTTGTCAATTAAAAATTAAATATTGGCTGGGCTGATCATTTGAGGTCAGGAGTTCAAGACCAACCTGGCCAACGTGGCGAAACCCCATCTCTACTGACTCTGTCTCAAAAAAAAAAATTAAGTAAAAATATCAATAATAATTTTTTTTTTGAGACTACTCACTCTGTCGCCCAGGCTGGAGTGCAGGGGAGTGATCTCAGCACGCTGCAACCTCCGCCTCCCAGGTTCCAGCTATGCTCATGCCTCAGCCTCCCAAGTAGCTGGAACTACAGGCACTTGCCACCACACCAGGCTAATTTTTGTATTTTGAGTAGAGTCAGGGTTTTACTGAGTTGGCCAGGCTGGTCAAACTCCTAACCTCTAATGGTCTGCCCACCTGGGCCTCCTGAAGTGCTGGGATTACAGGTGTGAGCCACTGTGCCTGGCCTAAAAACTAAATAATAATTTAAAAAACTATGTATTGGCCGGGCGCGGTGGCTCAAGCCTGTAATCCCAGCACTTTGGGAGGCCGAGACGGGCGGATCACGAGGTCAGAAGATCGAGACCATCCTGGCTAACCCGGTGAAACCCCGTCTCTACTAAAAAAAATACAAAAAACTAGCCGGGCGAGGTGGCGGGCGCCTGTAGTCCCAGCTACTCGGGAGGCTGAGGCAGGAGAATGGCGTGAACCCGGGAGGCGGAGCTTGCAGTGAGCTGAGATCTGGCCACTGCACTCCAGCCTGGGCGACAGAGCAAGACTCCGTCTCAAAAAAAAAAAAAAAACTATGTATTGTCCATGGTAGTCCAGGCCAGCCCTGTTGCATTGAAACCTCAAGTACATCTAATAGTACAGTGAGGAATAAAGTGCAGAAGTAACTGGTAACTGCGGCACAGCAAGAAATTTTCAACCTATGGCTCAGACATTAGACTTACTTCATGGTGGCTGACATGGACCTTCTCCCAGAATAGAAGGGATAAATGGCAGTAGCCCCCAGAGATCTAGACCTTTCTGACGGGGCACATTCCTCATCCCAAGTGGGCAGCTGAGGCCAGACTTCAAGTGCATGTCTGAGGACCAAGGATCTGCGCCCAGGGTCAGGAAGTATGCTCGATGTCAGGTATCTCCTTCACACAGCTATTTGGCAGGTTCTGTAGAAAAGCCAAGCGACACTGGCATGGTGGTTCACACCTGTGATCCCAGCAACTTAGGAGGCTGAGGCAAGAGGATCCCTTGAGGCCAGGAGTTCAAGGCTGCAGTGAGCTACGATTGTGCCACTGCACTCTAGCCTGGGAGACAGAGCAAGACCCCATCTCTTAAAAACAAGTGGAAAAAAAAAAAGCAAAGTGAAAATAATTCCAGCTGAGTCCATCTGCCTCACCAGTCCTCGAACCCAGACTGGGGGGGTCCGGTCTACTGCTTAGTCTCATCCAGGTATTGGTGGCATAGATACAGATGGGAGGACGAGGGAGGAAATGGCTTGAGGGATGAGACACTCGTGAGAACCACACAGTGGGTCAGAAACAGTCACTCTCAACTACCAATAATCAAGGCTGTCACTTTTCACTTTGTTTATGATGTGCTTTGTCATTCAGATGCTTTTAATTTTGATGCAAAGCAGATGATGTTTCTCCTAATGATTGGTACTTTTTGCATCTTATTAAAGAGATTCTTCTCCCACTCTGATTAAATTATATATATATAATATATATATAGTAATAACTATATAACGTTAGAGCTTTTTTTTTTTTTTTTGAGATCTCCGGCCTGAGCCCATCCTTGCTCTGTCCACCCCTGGCTGGAGTCGGCCCCGATCTCTGCCCTCACCTGCAAAGCTCCCGCTCCGGTTCACGGGCATCTTCATCTGCCTCAGCCTCCCGAGTAGCTGGGACTACAGGCACCCGCCAC